TTATTTCGTTTCTAACCCAGAGCTACTCAAGATGCAGCAGTAGCTCACAGATTCGTTGGGCCTATGTGAAATTTTGAACCAGGTTATGGCAGTTCCTGCACTCTTAATAGATGCAGCAGAATATGTTATCTAAATCCCAGTGCTCCATTTCATAGCAAAGGCAATAGATTCCTAATGAATGTGGAACTGTCCTGTTTTGGTTCCTTTTCAGAGTCCATAATAATTGGAGAAAAAAAAACACCTTATTTTAAAATTTGAAATTTTTTTTTGTCTGGATGTATAACAACTTATTCCTTGTATTACCCTGTATTTCATCGGTAGGGAAAAATTTACTTTAAGACCTGTATCGGAAGCAAACAGTAAATTATCAATTCAAGAATGAAAAGCCGCTACCATCAGAAGATGGACTTTGGCTGAGGAAATGTTATGTTTAAAAGAAGTTAAGAATGCTTGTTTCTCTGTTAAAGTTGAATACCAAAGCAGGGTATTAAATTTTGTTCTTTTGTAGTTATGAGGAAGGATCTTCTGGACTTCCAATAGAATGTTTTCTATTTATTAGGAAAACATCAATTAATAGCATCAAATTCATATTATAAATATAATTGCAGTTATAACCCTATTTAGATTGTCTTTAATTTGTGTTCCACAGAAATGAGTTATTCTTGATCCTCAGGCTTCCTCCAAAACTACTCCAGATTTTCTTTGTCCTTTTTTTATTTCTTAGTTGCTGCTTTCTCTTTATGAATGTAACATTCAACGTATCTTAAGAGCTTTTATCCTATTCAGACAGAAGGCCAAGGAGTCTGAGACTACTTGTTTTGAAAGATGTATACTGACTCATGAGTGGAAATATGCAGAAGTCGCTCAGGCTACAAAGTGTGGCTAATCATATTCAGAGTTGCTCGAGGTAGACAGTGTGCATCCATAATCTTCGCTGACTTTTCCCCTTTTCATGGAGCTTTAATTTCAGTTAGAATTTGAGAATTCACTGGGAGAAGCACAGCTTGTCTGAGTATTTTCTAAAACCTGGTCCCTGTGATGCTAGGAATAAATCAAGTGCTTGTGTGCACCATCTGCCTTGCCTAGCCAGGAGAGTTATGCCTCAATTACAGCTGGCAATGCATTTCAAGAAAATTACTTTGCAGCGGTTGTTTAAAAAGCCTCTGATTTCAGATAAACAGTCAGTCTTCAGGAGGTTTTGAAGCTTCTAGAAAGATTTCCTTCCTCTTCTGGGAAGAAAAAAATATTTTCCAGCTTTGCTGCAGAAAAGCTGAATGCAGAAAAATTACGATAAAAGATGTTGCTTAATTTATTCTCAAAATTATACATAAAAAGTAGGAAGAGAAACTTGAATTACTGAATCTTTCATGAAAGTTGTATTAATAAGTGACTAAAAAATCAACTCCTGCAAGAAGAATGTAGTGAATATAGAAGAGTCTGGAGAAAAAGGGAAGAAAAAACTTCTGAAATGTTGGCCAAGCTATATGAAATTCTTAAAGGGAAGTGGATAAACTTGACTTGGTTCCTAAATGAATTTCAACGTCATCTGCCAAATGGTTTGTTTTTTTTTTTTTTCCCCCACCGTTCTGCTAAAATGCTATTTCTTTGCCAGACTCACAGGGCAAAAAGTTAGAGTATACACATGCTACATTATTCTGTGTTGCTCTGTTCTCTATCTCTGCTTCTGCATATTGTGATGCAGTGTTAAAGCTTATGTGATTAGAAGTACATGTGTCAATGGACTGGAATGAATATACTTCTTTCAGGGTATACCAGACCCAAATCCTAGCTGACGGTAGGAATGGATGTATACAGCTGTTAACCCTGACGCTCGCCCTATGCATAAGTGTAAGACACATAGCTGCTTGGAAGCTTTTCCTCCAAGGCAAGGTTGACGCTATGTAGGATAAGTAGATGCAATAGCTCATCCAGATGCTCTAAAGCATCAATAGGCTTCATCACTGCTACCAGGGTTAAAGTTTTTATTTTGTGCCGTCTTTGGTTTCTAAAAATATAGGACTGTCTACTTTTTTTTTCCATTTTCTGTGTCAGCCTGCTTCACTTGGATCAATACAGAAAAGCTGTTCTCTCTAGCTGGAAGAGAACCAGAAAATGGATGGCTTATCTCTGATATGCTTAAAGGAGGTATATGTGCCTGTCTTTGTGTCTAGTGACAGTATCTGTGATTTATTCGCAAAAATATTTATTTATTCACTTTATGTGGCTGCAGAGCTGTTTTGTCTTCATACTTCTTCCTTGGTGGTTTTTCACTTCTGGTCCCAATGCCACCAGAAAATAATCTATGGTACGTTATGGGCAGCTCATGCTCTAATTTTGTCTGTGCCGCAGAAAAGGGTACCCCAATTGCTTTTCAGGATCTCTGGTGTTTTGGAGATGGGATGTATTTCTTTTATTCAGGGATTCCTTTGAGTAAATGCAGGCAACCATCTGAGCAAGGGCTCCATCTGCTAATTCTGATGTGTTTATGTGACTTTGCAGCTTCCACTCTTTTAGCTGCGATGGTCCAAAAAGTGGCAGTTGTGTATTCCATTTATCCATTAGTGGTGGAAGGGACTCTTTTGTGTCTTGTACAGGAAGACTGGCTACTGCAGTGGTCTATCTGAAAGTAATAGATTGATAATATCTTTTGAGGGCAAGAGGTTCTTTACAGTAAGGTCTTTTGCCTCATGCTCAAGTAGATTACTTAACAAATAAACCTTTTTGGCTTCTTTAAAAAAAAAAAAAAAATGAAACCCTCTAGAACTTTTTCTCTCTATGAGAGAAAACATTAGAAAGCAAGTATTTGCTCCTTTATTTAGTCAAATTTGTCTTCATTAATGAATTAAGGAAACTAAAGAATAGTCACAGGTAGCACAGGATACTGACAAGCATCAGCACACCTGGAGTTACTTGATTACTGCATGAAGATTCAGTGACTTAAAAAATGGTATCCACGCAGAGAGACAATGCTTGTAGTTACAGCCTGTAAAAGTTGTAAAGGCAGGAGAACAAGGATGTATAGGATTCCCTACAGTGCTCTGGAGTAACAAAGAAGGAACAGTGAGCTTGCTGACAGTTCTCAAGCCCTGAAAATAGGATTTTGTTGTGAAAGTAATGAAGTCAATTTAGCAATAGTGGGAAGAGCTGTTACAGTATGATGTCATATGGACCCGTTCCTGTTTCCAAATATGAATCTATATTGGTTTATAGTAGGTTTTTAACTTTTTCTCTCTCTTTAGAGTGAAATGCAGCTGCGTGAGAAAGAGGTGATGAGGCAGCAGCATGAGGAGCTGTTGAACGAACACAGAGAACTGATTGATGCTCTGACTGCAGAAATACTTCTAGTGAGGGAAGAAAACATTACTATGCAGGTACTGAACCCCCCTTGCTCCTTACCCATCAGGATGACTTGTTAGAATACTAAGTTGTGTTGCAAATATGGGTCGAGATGCATTGTTTCATGTTCAAGGAATTTTAACAATAAGCAGAAATAAAATGATAAAATTGAATGAGGAGCCTGAGAATTATAATAGCAGGTATGAGGTGGGGGGAAGGAATGTTTGTAAAGTCATTATTTTATCTTCATTTATGATGTTTAACTTTAAAGCCTGAGAAAATGCTAGTTCCATGAAACTGAGCTTTATCAATCTAAAAGTTTAAGCATCTTCCCCCACACTTCTATACTGTTAACGCTTCTGGAGCAACAGAGTAGACTAGATGTAATACTACATTTTCTTTTTTTCAGTTTGCAGTGGAGGTAGATTTTTTTCAATGGTTATGTTTGGGAATGAAGCAATAAAGCAACGTTGGAAAGGAAGTAGGGTCATGAGTTAGGAAAAGGAAAAACAAGTAATTTATTTGAGTCAGGAAAGAAAAAATGAGAAACATGGAGACACTAATATTTAATACTGTCCTGGTTTCGGCTGGAATAG